AGTACTGCTCCCAATCCAAACATAGAAGCGTCTGTATGGACGAGAAAGCGTTTAGTTGGATCAGGAGCAGAAAGTACAGGTGATTTAATGAGCGCCGTCTTGAGCTGCTGGAAGGCCTGTTCACACTCTGGGGCCCATACTACTATCTTGGGGAGGTTTTTACATGTTCCTATATGGCACTTACTGGGCTTTAGGGTCAGTCCGGACTCCCTAATCCGGTCTAGTACGGCTCCTATGTGGGTCAGGTGTTCGGGCCAGGAGCAGCTAAAAATGTCTATACCATCCAAGTAGGTGTGTATCACCTTAGGACAGGTGTCAATCCATATCTGCCAAGTGACCCTATGTAGGGGGAACAGTCTCTATTCTGCTCTGTGTCAGTGTGTATCATGGTCTCTGAGGACAGGTGTCAATCCATATCTGCCAAGTGACCCGATGTAGGAGGAACAGTCCCTATTCTGATCTGTGTCAGTGTGTATCAGGGATCCCTAGGACAGGTGTCAATCCATATCTGCCAAGTGACCCTATGTAAAAATGGCCTGATGAGATGAGCTGCCTTGGAATAAAAATGGTCCACACGCTGCTGTATTTTAGCTCTGAATGCCGGTTGACTTGCGTGACTTATCCGCCACCAACTAGGGTTCAAGCCGCCATGTTTTAGGGCACTTTCTGCCTGTGAAACAAACATAATTTTTTCTGGCCGCTGCTACAGCAGCGGCTGCAACAATACCAAATTTGAAGTAAGAGGATCGACCAAGCCTCTTCTTCCATCTCCCTGTTACAAAAATCAATGCCGTGTACACGTCCACTAATAGGAGACGCGGAAGGTATTAAACTGATAAAAATAGTACTAAACACACCACTCCTATCTGGTGTCACATTAGCTTGACCGCGCAGTGCCCCAAATTTGCAGTAAGAGGACCGACCAAGCATCTTCTTCCATCTCCCTGTGACAAAAATCAATGCCGTGTACACGTCCACTGATAGGAGACGCGGAAGGTATTAAACTGATAAAAATAGTACTAAACACACCACTCCTATCTGGTGTCACATTAGCTTGACCGCGCAGTGCCCCAAATTTGCAGTAAGAGGACCTACCAAGCATCTTCTTCCATCTCCCTGTTACAGAAATCACTGCCATGTACACGTCCACTGATAGGAGACGCGGAAGGTATTAAACTGATAAAAATAGTACTAAACACACCACTCCTATCTGGTGGCACATTAGCTCTGTGTCAGTGTGTATCATGGTCTCTGAGGACGGGGAACAGTCTCTATTCTGCTCTTGCATTTCTATTTCTTCTTAGATAACGAAAAAATTCTGAGAAGACATTGGCAGGGCTATTCACTTGTGTGATCTGTCATGAATTGTCATTTGAATGTTATTTTGAACTGTGGGGCACAAGAACTTGAATCTGACAAAATGGTTGCCATATACACGTCCACTGATAGGAGACGCGGAAGGTATTAAACTGATCAGAACAATACTAAACACACCACTCCTTTTTTTTGGTGAAGCTTTACAGGACAGAGTGCTTCTCCACGGGACATGTTAACTCACGGGCAGCTGGCTCATCAAGGAACCAGAGCAGCTTTCCATGTAAAGGTAAGACACGTGCAGCCGGTAAGGGTTCAGGCTCTTCTTCCTGGAGGATACGCTGCAAGCCTGTTGAACGAGGTGACCTTGCTCGGGTCCCAGGTGTACGGTTCCTAAAATGGCTGCCATATACACGTCCACTGATAGGAGACGCGGAAGGTATTAAACTGATCAGAACAATACTAAACACACCACAAATAAGGTTTCTCTGTATGGCTCCTCAAATGATGCTTAAGATTAGAAGCGGCTGAAAAGCATTTCTCACACTCGAACAAAAATATATTTTTTTAACATTCTCTCCACTTTGAACGAAATGACGTTTGGGAAGAGATTAACATAATTAAACACAGGCAGTAAAAATACAGTTTTTAGCCATACCCTGTAACTTTAAAACTACACATCCCATCATCATAATTACATATTTGGAATCAGCACACTTAAAACATAACCATAACAAAAAATCAGCCAAATCCATCCAGGGGTTAAAAAGTTAGCTGGAGGTCCCTTTATGACCGACCGCAAGCACATTTTCATGCCCAAAACAGTTCCATAGATTTGGGCTGTGAGGTCAGTCTATTTCAGGCTGAAAAAACGACTAAGTCCCATCGCGAATGGGACTTAGTCTCTGCAGCTGAAATAAGGCTGAAAAAAAGACTAAGTCCCATCGCCGAATGGGACTTAGTCTCTGCAGCTGAAATAAGGCTGAAAAAAAGACTAAGTCCCATCGCCGAATGGGACTTAGTCTCTGCAGCTGAAATAAGGCTGAAAAAAACGGCTGAAAAAAAGACTAAGTCCCATCGCTGAATGGGACTTACCGTATATACTCGAGTATAAGTCGAGTTTTTCAGCACATTTTTTGTGCTGAAAAAACCCCACTCGACTTATACTCGAGTTAATGTCTGTATTATGGCAATTTACATTGCCACAATACAGACCAGGACCGCCGAGCTCATTACAAGCCCGGCGGTCCTGTTGGGGGCTGACAGTGAGAGGTTACTTACCTTCCTGCAGCTCCTGTCAGCTCCCTTCTCCTCCGTGCAGCTCCTCTGTCAACTCCCACTGTAAGTCTCGCGAGAGCCGCGGGGTCACCGCGGCTCTCGCGAGACTTACAGTGGGAGCTGACAGAGTAGTTGCACGGAGGAGAAGGGAGCTGACAGGAGCCACAGGAAAGGTAAGTAACCTCTCACTGTCAGCCCCCCCTCCTACACAGCCCATACACTGGACCACTAGGGAGTGAGAGCCCCCCTCCCTGGCAAGCTAACAAGCAGGGAGGGGGGACGAAAATTTAATTAAATAAATAAGAAAAAATACAATGAAAAATATTAAAATAAAAAACTTAAAATATTAAAATAAATAAAAAAATGTAAAATATTAAAAAAATAATAAAATAAAAAAAACTTAATATATATAAAAAAATTATAATAAAAATGCCCTCCTCCCACCCAGTTCTCTCACACACACACACACACTCATACAAACACACACACACTTTGCATTATACACACACACACTCATACAATCTGCATTCTACACACACACACTCATACAAACACACACACACTCTGCATTATATACACACAGAGTGTGTGTGTATTTGATGAGTGTATGTGCGTATATAATGCAGAGTGTGTGTGTGTTTGTATGAGTGGGTGTGCGTGTATAATGCAGATTGTGTGTTTGTATGAGTGGGTGTGCGTGTATAATGCAGAGTGTGTGTTTGTATGAGTGTGTGTGCGTGTATAATGCAGAGTATGTGTTTGTATGAGTGTGTGTGCGTGAATAATGCAGAGTGTGTGTTTGTATGAGTGTGTGTGCGTATATAATGGAGTGTGTGTTTGTATGAGTGTGTGTGCGTGAATAATGCAGAATGTGTGTTTGTATGAGTGTGTGTGCGTATATAATGCAGAGTGTGTGTTTGTATGAGTGTGTGTGCGTGAATAATGCAGAATGTGTGTTTGTATGAGTGTGTGTGCGTATATAATGCAGAGTGTGTGTTTGTATGAGTGTGTGTGCGTATATAATGCAGAGTGTGTGTTTGTATGAGTGTGTGTGCGTATATAATGTAGAGTGTGTGTTTGTATGAGTGTGTGTGTAGAATGCAGATTGTTTGTATGAGTGTGTGTGTGTGTGTGTATAATGCAGAGTGTGTGTTTGTATGAGTGTGTGTGTGTATATAATTCTAAAAATCACAGAATTTCATAGCCCCAAGTTTTACCCTCGACTTATCCATGAGGCATAGCATATTTCACAATTGTTGGTCACAAAACTGCCCTCGACTTATACATGAGATCGACTTATACACGAGTATATACGGTAGTCTCTGCAGCTGAAATAATTTCCCATTTACTGAACCAAGTGGGAAATAGCAAGGCAGGCACAAAGGGTTTGCACCAGGTCTGGGGACACAGTGGACACCGTCTTAAAGGGGCCGTGTCCCCAACAAGTCTGGGGACACGGCCTTAAAGGGGCAGTGTCCCAATCTTCCTGATGTCCCACAAAAGGTGTTTAAAGGGCCAGCACCAGTCACATAAAGAGTCCATAAGCCCCAATATGCCCAACGACAGTCTTAAAGGGCCATACACACCAAATAAAAGTGCATACATTTTCACAATCTCCCAGGGGCCATAGTCATGTGGGAGGAGGCTGGCAAAGAGGCTTCTCCACAACCCAGGGAAACAGGGCAATTTGCCATTTAAAGGGCCCGTTACAAATAGCAGTTTGTAACAAGGTGTCAATCCATATCTGCCAAGTGACCCGATGTAGGGGGACCAGTCCCTATTCTGCTCTGTGTCGGTGTGTACCAGGGAACCTTAGGACAGGTGTCAATCCATATCTGCCAAGTGACCCGATGTAGGGGGAACAGTCCCTATTCTGCTCTGTGTCAGTGTGTATCAGGGATCCTTAGGACAGGTGTCAATCATATCTGCCAAGTGACCCTATGTAGGGGGACCAGTCTCTATTCTGCTCTGTGTCCGTGTGCATCAGGGGCTCTGAGGACAGGTGTCAATCCATATGTCAAGGTGTCAATATGTCATATGTCAGGTGTCAATCCATATTCATTGTGATTTAGGAATGTTAGGTGATTTCTGCCCTTTATGGATTAAAACCAGACTCTGTATCAACTGTGTAATTTTCCATGGGAGTTTTGCCATGGATCCCCCTCCGGCATGCCACAGTCCAGGTGTTAGTCCCCTTGAAACAACTTTTCCATCCCTATTGTGGCCAGAAAGAGTCCCTGTGTGTTTTAAAATTCGCCTCCCCATTGAAGTCAATGGCGTTCGGGCGGTTCGCCGGTTCGCGAACATTTGCGGAAGTTCGCGCTTCGCGCGAACCTAAAAATTCGGTTCGCGACATCACTACTCCTGTAGCTGAAAACATAGCAGTTTCCAGAGAAACTGCTATGTTTCACTGAGGGTTATCCAGCCTCTAGTGGCTGTCTCACTGACAGCCGCTAGAGGAGCACACTGAACGTCCATAGGAAAGCATTGAGTAATGCTTTCCTATGGGCGGTTTGAATGCGTGCGCGGTCGCATTCGGAGCTGAGAGGCTGAGGGATCCTCAGCGCCAAGGAGTCCGGGCTGGAGAAAGGTAAGTGCTGAAGACACACACACACACTTACAGACGCATACACACTAGCTAACAGACACACACATTTACTGACAGAGACACAGTCAGCGACAGACATACATACATACACACACTCACTTACAAAACATACACTCTCATTGACAAACACACACTCAGTAAGACACACACAGTAACACTCACTGACACTCACTAGCAGACACACACACTAACACTCACTAGCAGACACACTAACACACACTCTCAATCTAACACTCTCACACACTAACACTCACTCTAACACTCTCACACACTAACACTCACTCTAACACTCACACACACTAACACTCACTCTAACACTCACTCTAACACTCACACTAACACTCACACATGATTTTTTTTTTTTTTTAATTTAATCCCCCAGCCTCCTTACCTTTTGGAGTGCTGGGGGGATTCCCTGGGGTCCAGTGGTGCTGCTGGGCTCCTGGGCGGGTGGCCGGTCGGGCAGGCAGGCGGGCGGGCGAGGGAGCACTCAGTGCTTCCTCTTCAGCTCCCTCGCGCGCCACGTAGGGATGCCGGAGCCGGAAGATGACGTCATCTTCCGGCTCCGGTATCATTGCGGTGCGCGAGGGAGCTGAAGAGGAAGCACTGAGTGCTCCCTCGCGCGCCCGCCTTCCTGCCCGACCGGCCACCCGGGGTCAGCAGGGCCAGCCTCAGGGGGCCCTGGGGTGGCCGGCTCCTGGGCCCCCCAGGGGAAGAGGCTGACCCTGTGGCTACCCTGGTATGTACGCCACTGTTGACTACCATACTTCTTTTGTGCAGGTTATTAAGTCCCTTTGTGTTTAGGAAGAATATTATAAAAAGAAGCCATTGCATATATTGTCGTGAGGAAGTTGGATTCCAACTGGAACTCAATATAGGGTCTCTATTGTCATCATGAACAGTCTTGTGTGTGGGGAAAGAGTAAGTGTTTTATTAATGACAACCCACTGGACAAGGGCAAGGGAAAATATGGATTAGAAGTGTTATGAATAGAGGATAACATTATGATAGTCATCCCGCAACATGTAAGACCTGGTTTACCAACCTATGGCATGTGTCCCCTAGGGAATACATGCACCAAAAGCAGGGGGTATGCCAAAGCAAAAGGCTGAACATACAGACTCCAGGCACCATGGCCACTTCAAATCAATACAGCAGTCATGGTTCTTGGATTTACCCTTTGAGTTTAAATACATGGTTATTCACTAAAGTCAGACTTTAAAGTTAATTCAAAGGGAAATTCAAATTTAAGGTCAAAATAGCCGCAGCTATGCTACAGCTCTACTAATCTGACTTTAAATTTGAGATTTACTTTGAATTTTCTTTGAATCCTCACTTAAATAAATAATACTGTAAGAGTATTTTCTACTTTTTCCTATTAGTCTTTCACCTAGCATTTAGTCCTCTAAGAAATTCTTAAAATACATTAATTTAGAGAAGCATATCACATACCATTTTAATTCTTGATCATAGCAGGATAAATTGTCCCCAAACTGGTCTGAATACATTAGTTTCTACCATCTTCTCTACAATGGCCACATAGTTGTAAGCAAATAAGTAAAGCACCCTTGATCAAATAACATATTTAGTTAGTTCCCTAAGTGAGAAAACGGTAATAGAATCTCTGCAGTGAGCAAGGGTAATCTTGACATATTTCTGCAAATTACTCAGTTATTTTCTGAATTCAACTGATTGAATAAACAAAACAGCAACTATGGTATTTGAAAAAAAAAAATGGGCACCCTTTCAGTTGATCCATTAATGATTTACTTGTTAAGTTCTCAGAACATTAAATGTCTAACTAGATTTGTTAGTTTGTCAGCCAGTACTTATAAACACCATTTTTGGCAGAAATATATGCTATAATACTTCTTGTATCCACATAAAGGTTGTTCAACTGTTGCTTTAGGATTTATTGTCTCCAATACTCCTTAAAAAAAACTTGTAGCTCAGAAATATTATTTGGTTGTTTCTTGTGGACTGTATGTTTGAGATCAAGCCAGACATTTTCAAGAATATTGAAGCCAGTGAATTGAGTAGGCTATTACAAAACCTTAAAAGGGAACTGTCAATTCCCACGATTTATAATTTTATATTTACATATACCCTATATTTAACAAAAATTTTATTTTTTCATTGGTGCCTAAACCTTTGCATACAACTGCATATACATGTTACATACTATTTATTAAAAGGACACTATAGGAACTCAGAAACTCTACAATGATGATCTCAGTCAAAGAAACGGAGTAGTGGGTTGAAGACCCGTGTGTCATTAGCTGAAAGGAAAGAAAAGCACAACTTTTAGATCCCGACACAGTAGGGGACACCTAAATTGGTAGAAGTGCATTATAGCTTTATGAATATGTTTGTATTTCTAACGCTATATTGTAACTTTAAATAAAACCTAATGTTTTTTCCCTACAATAGACATGATAATTTGCTAACCTGCTACTCTACTTTCTGGGAATACTGTAAAGTAATGAAGTATATTTAAAAAAATAAAAAAAATGAAATTCCAACCAGATTGGTTTTAATATGCATATTTAATATACATAGTCATTATACTCTCTTTTTTTTAAGGTATCTGTATTGCAGAATTAATGAGTTGCAAATTACTGAGAACTCTGTCTGACAAGATACAGTTTTATATATTTAAATGCTGTGTTTGTTTTGATGCACAATCTCATTTTGTAGTATTATTTTTGGTTTATCAAAGTTACATTACAAAACTAAAAACTTTAAAGTAAGTATTCTGGAAGATGTAACTAAGGATAAGAATATTAAGGATTTTCTCATCTCGTATTTTAGAACTGCTTCCAAAAAGCTACAATATAAATATTTTCTAAACATCCAATTACACTGTTTTCCTTTTTTTTCAAAGTTTTTTTTTGTTTTGTGTTTTTCAATTTATAATTTTTATTTCAGCATATCAACATATGTAATGCAACATGTAGTCGGCATTGCTAGGTAGATATTGCTACATTTTAGGTGCATTACAAGTATAAGTGGGGTCTGTCAACATTTGCCTTATAAACAGAAAGTGCTAACATTAGGTAGTCGGAACCGTGTGGGTCAGCTATAATGTACACGTATTTTTTGCTCCTCATCTTCAACATATGCAACATATGCAGAAAAGAAAACTTATTTTACACGGGAGAGGTAATAACCTCATGCTCGCTATTTTATGTTTATAGGGAAACTCCAGTGCCAGGAAAACAATCAGTTTTCCTGGCACTGCAGGTCCCCTCTCCCTCCCACCCCCCAATCCCCGGTTGCTGAAGGGGTGAAAACCCCTTCAGTCACTTACCTGAGGCAGCGACGATGTCCCACGTCGCTGCTTCTTCCTCCGGTGCCGCTCCTCCCAGTCATTGCGTCGGCCAGTGGGCGAGACTGATCCCGCCCACCGGCCGGGGAGACCTAATGCGCATGCGCAGTAATGCGCGCATGCGCATTGGAGCTCCCCATAGGAAAGCATTGTTTCTTGTGCTAGGGACACGGAAGTGTCCTCTAG